GCTCACGCCTATAATCCAGCACTTTGCGAGGCCGAGGCAGGCCGATCATGAGGTCGAGTGATCGAGACCATCCTGGCCAACGTGGTGAAACCCCATTTCTACTAAAAATACAAAAATTAGCTGGGCGTGGTGGTGGATACCTGTAGTCCCAGCTACTCAGGAGGCCAAGGCAGGAGAATTGCTTGAACCCAGGAGGTGGAGGTTCCAGGATCGCACCACTGCACTCCAGCCTGGTGACAGAGGGAGACTCTGTCACACACACACACACAAAAAAACAACCCTAAACTTCACATTGATCCTGCAGGGGTGTGATTACCTCCCCCTTCCCACCACGCAACTTACAGATGAGAAAACTGGGCCTCAGAAAAGCCAAGTGACTGGTCAGAGGCCACACAGCAACTCCACGGCAGATCGGGGGAGGGGATCCGTCTGTTGTGGAGCTCACGCCGTCCCCCTCACCAGGCTGCCTTCCCGTCTGGCTCCCAGGACCCAGCAGGTGTTCAGCACGTCCACTGATGAATGTGTATGTCTGTGTTTTCTTTCACACACGCTCAGTGCAGGCTCCAGCTGCCTCTCTCTCCAAACCCACTCTGAGCTGTGCTCTCCCTGCAGCCTCAGAAACTCGAAGACCCCTTGGCTTCTTCCACAGCCAGAACCAGCGTGAATTCCCTGGGATCCAGCCTCAGTATCCCCTATGTTTCTCAGGCCCGCACACCTGAGCAAGTCCCTCCCTGCTTTGAGCAGACCCACAGCACTGGCTGGGCTCCTGCCCCAGGCCTGACCCCCACTGTGGAAGCCTCTGGGGTCCAGCCACCTCCATTCTCCTCTCTTCCTCTGAAACATCAGGCCTGGCACTGCTCCCCCTCAGCCCCCTCTCCCTGCGGCCCCCTGGGAGCCCAGGCTTTGCTTGAGGGCAGCGAGTGAAGCCGGCTGTAACAGAGAAACCTCAGGCTCCTCTTTAGAAGTCCCCCGAGGAGGCAGATCTGAGGAAAGGCTGCCGAGAAGGCGCCTGCAGCAATGTCAGCTTGAGAACAACCCAGCTGACAGGATGCTGAGCGGGGATTAAGGTTGGGATCAGGGAAGCCGGGGAAACGAAGGCAAGTTCCCTGCTCCCCGCGCTGCCACCGCTGCTGCTGCCTCGGAGGCTGAGTTTGTCTTCTTGTTTGTTCTGGCTCTGGGAAAGTGGGCGGGGAGGGAAGTGGGCAGGGGTAGGGTGGGGAGGTGGAGGGAAGGACAGGACAGAGGTGGAGAAGGGCAGGTAGGGGGTTGGAGGGAGGTGGAGGGAAGAGAAAGTCAGGGCTCCTCTGGGTCTTGGGGCTCAGTCAGGGACAGGGTCCTTACCTGAGACCCTTCCCCTATACCTGTCCCTATAGTCAGTCTGCCAGCCAGTGAAGCAGCCAGTCGCCCCCCTGCCCCCGCCCCCGGAACCCTCCCTCATGTCCTGAATGTGGGTGGCAGGACCAGTGAGAACAAAATTGGCCTTACCCTGAGAGGCTCCCAGATCAATGAAGCAGATGCAGTCTGAGAGGAGCTGAGCCCGTTTCCATCTGTTTACAAGCGTAAGATCCCCCATTCTGGAGAGAGACCATCACCCAACCTGCCTCATCATTGACGTGTCACAAGAGCCCAGCCCTGGATGACCAGGTCCAGGGAAACCTCAAGCCCTGGCATTGCCACTAGTGTGGTAGTGAAGAACGTGGCTTCTGGTTTCAGACTGCATGGGGTCAACTTTTGGCTCTGTCACTGATTTGCTATGTCACATTGGGCGAGCTGGCTAACTCTCTATTCCTCAATGGGATAAAATCATAGCCCCACCTTACAAGGTGGAGGGAGTGGACACGTGCACAGTGCTTGGCATAGGGCCTGCCATGGAGGACAGAGGATATATGTCATAGGTTAGCTTTATTTATTATTGGGGCAGAGTATAGGAATAAATACGGCAATTTGAAGTGGCTTGCCTGAAGGCTTCCTGGGGGAAGGGGTGTGGAAATCTGATTTTGGAGGCTGAGACTGGGCAGGTGTAGAGAAGTGAATTGGAGGTATGGAATAGAGCTCTCGTTTGCCAGGAGAGTGAGTTAAGGATGTGTCTGGTAAGAGGCAGAAAGGATGCATTTTCTAGGATGCATCCTAGAAACCCCCTCCCAGCCAGCCTTTCTCCAAAGTTCCTACTTTAACTGGGGTAACTCTTCCAGACCTGCCAAGGGCAGGCCAGGGGCGCCAAGACCATGAAAAGATGCCGTTTTTCATGGTACTCTTCCCAGAATGGGATTTATTCCAGAAACTCTAGCCATTCAGGGAGACTTCGCTTGTACCTGGGTTCTCTGGACCTGGCAAGGGAAGAAGCAGGCATAGAGAGTACAAGCCTGGAGGCAGATCACCCCTGGGCTTGGGTTCCAGCTCTGTGATTAATCATCTGTGTGCCTTGGAGCAAGTGAATCAGCCTCTCTGGGCCTTAGCTGCCAGGTCTGTGAAATGAAATAGTAATATCTACCCTAGAATTGTAATGATGAGTAGTTGCTCAATAAATATCCACTGTTGATATTCAACTTAACAAAGAGTTGCTGAGCTCCAGCCAGCTACTGGGGCCCTAATGAATGAGGCCGTTTCTTAGCCCTCAAGTAGCTGGTGGCCTGCATGTGTGTCCAAATATGATGCTGAAGGTTGTGGTGCTACCTTATATAAAGGTCCACCCAGGAACCAAAGAGAAGGAGCTCCTGGCATCCACGTCCCAGGCTGCAGGGGCTGCTTCCCTGGCCCACCCTGCAAACTTGCAACCCTGCTTGTGTGTCCTCAGCCTATCACCCTGTCTCTGGACACCTTGGCTGGCAGGCTGGGGATGGGAAGAGTATTGGGGGGGCGGGTATGAGAGCCTGGGATGGCGTTCTGGTAATTGGGGAAAAGGTCTGCTGAGTCTGATTTCCAGGGGAAAGCCTTGGGCAAGGGGGCCCAGTCCCTGCAGATGTGTGTGAGGAATACCCTGTTGAGGACTTTATCTCTAGGGGCCTGGTTCCAGAAAAGCAAATTTTAAAAACACCTTTTCTTTTTTTCTGTTAATAAAAGTTATGTGTCTTTATTGTTCAAAAAAATGAAAAATACAGAAAAGCATACAAAAGGAAATAAAGATCAGCCATAATCTTCCCACTCAGAGATAGCCATGGTATGATTTTAGTGTATCTCCTAGTTTTTCTTTTGTTTTCTTTTTCTTT